CCCCCTAGTGGCTTCATTTTAACTTAGTTACTTCTGCAAAACCTGTCTCCAAATATACTCACCTTTTGAGACACTGGGGTTAGGACTTCCACATATGAATTTTGTAGTGGAGGTCACAATTCAGCTCATGACTCATGTATATCATTTATGTTTTCCCTGCTAAAATGTAAGTGCCATGGTGGAGGAGACCTTATGTCTCTTGTCTGATACTATATCCAAAGCACTTAGATTGATAGCTGGTATACAGTTAGTACTCAATAATCTTTTGCTCAATAAATGAATAGACTTGGTTAGTGATGATAATTATAGGATTTGGTTACTGATCACATGTGAAAGCAAGGCAGAGAACAAGTCTTGGTTGATTCCCAGATTTGTAGTTTGGTACATTGAATGGCCAGTGTTACCCTTAAACATGATAGGAAACACAAGAAAAAAATCAGGATTTGGGGGAAAGCTTTAGACATGCTGGGTGAGAAATACTGGGAATATATTTAGGTGGAAAAATTAAAAAGACCTGTAGATATATGGCCTGGAGTGGAATGAAGAGATCTTGGTCAAACACATAGATTTGGAGATCATCAATTTATAGCAAGTAGTAATATCTGGATAGCAGATGAGATAATTCAAAAAGAACATGCATAGGAAGAGGCCTAGTATAGAAGCAAGGAAAATACTAATGTTTAAAGATTGAGTGGGTAAAGCAAAGTTTGGTTGAGAAGTGTTAGGAGGCAGGAGCAAAGCAAGAAGTGAGGAATCATAGGATCAAAGGGGAAAAGATATTGAATGGAATGATCACCTACATCAAGGCATAAATAATTTCTCAAAGACTGTTCCAAGGAATAACTCTTCCATGATTTACTCTTTGGGAAAACTGGTCAATTTAGTGAGATAAATGCGGAAATCTATATACTTCTCTTGCAGAATCCCCCAAAACATTAGCATAATAATGTCTCTGAGAAGTCTTGCTATACAGAAATACATACATTTTAATTTCCAGATTAAAGTTTCCAGAGCTCTTTATTTGGGCACATATGTCTCTCTTTTCCCCCTACATAACAACTATTAATAATAGTGCAGGGAACTGGATCCCAAGGAATCCTGTGAAACAATGCTAACCCATAAACAATTAGGTAAACATTGAGAAGATTCCTTTGGATTTGACTATTAGGGGCCTTGTCTGAGTGGTTTCCATAGAATGGTGGGGTCTTAAGGGTGAATAAGGAGGAGCAGAATTAAAACAGTAGGCATAATCTGCTCCTTCTATAAGGTTGATCTCAAAGAGAAGGAAAAAGATAGGGCAGTGTCTTGGGTGGATGGTTTTGTAAGGTTATACAATTTTTTTTTAATGGAAAGTATATGACTAGGTTTATAGATAGTAGAGAGATTGAGGAATAGTAGCAAGAGGAGTTCAATAATCAATAATCAATAGTAGAACAAGGTATACAAGGAGAAGGGAGAAACTAAGATCAAGAAAAGTTTCTTCCCTTTTCTGGAGACTGGAGAAAAGGAAAGGGGAGGCTGCAGTCGTAGACATAGGGTAAGAGGTTGTGGAAGCCCATGATAGGCTTCAATTTCTTAGACAAGAACATACGCTCAGAGTTTGTCTTTGGTGCTAGAAGAAAAGGTGCCCTCCCCTACTTTCTCCTCCACCTGAAAAACATCATGTATGATCTCGTTCATGTAAAAATCCTTTCCAAATGTTATGATTATTACTGTTATGGTCAGGGCATCACCTCTTTTTTGTACTCCTATATAGGCCTCATTGTTCTGAACTTCAATTACCTAGTTTCCTTCTGGTTTCTGCTTCTGGAGCAGAGATTTATTTTATGCATTTCTGTTTCCTACTACCTTTTACAGAGTGGAGTGTTATAAACATTGTGGAATGATTAGTGAGTCACAGGCAGCATCCCAATTTGTCCTCAATTGAGAATTCAATGAATTGCCTTATTTTGAATTGAAGAATCCTAGTACCAGGGTGTAGCTACACAATTCAGTTCTGTACACTTTCATTGGTAAATCTTATACAGAAATTTCCTGATTTTATTTCTCTACAATCAGTTTTTATGATCCATGCCCAACTCAGTTGATTTTTATCCCAGATTACTCTACCTGGTTGTCCCAAAGTGTGTTATCTTTGTATGTAAAGCATTTATCATAGTGAAAGACATAATGCAAACTTAACAAATGGTAGTTGTTATTATTACTATTATAATAGATTCAACAAAACCAAGGAGAGCTACATTATCAAAGTTGCAGTTTTATATTTCTCAATTATCTACATAGTCTTCTAGGTCCTGCCCTTTCTGTCCACATTTTCTTTAATATTTTTCCCTTATGAACTACTTAATCACTTTTATCCCACTGTCTTGTTAACACCAAATCTCTTATTTGTATTTATTTACTTACTTAATATACATATTTATACTTTGACATTTTCCCTACCCAGTGTTTATCTTATCTTTCATTTTTCTTTATTTCAGGCACTCCAAAATATCATTCTTCTATTCATTTCTCCCCCAATCATCAGTTACCAATGAGCCTGAAAGCCATCATTGTAAAATTTCCATGTGTACAACAATGCTTATTTTTTGGGCACTTACTATGTACTACTTACTATTCCTGGTATTGAAGACACAAGCATGGTAAATTTTTAAAAAGCCACCATCTATATGGAGCTCATAGTCTAGTGAAATACATAGATAATGAACAATTAACAATTAGATAACTAATGAACTTGTAAACATTATTTTTTTAGGTGGGTCACCAGACAGTAGAAAACTAACTTATAAGTAATATGTGGCTTGGGCAGAAAATATTCCTGGAGGAAAGAAAGTATAGGCAAGCTGTAGCTGAAATTCCAGACTAACGAAATGAAGGAAGATTATTAGGTAATGTAGTACAATAAATCTATCAGGATCCACAATGGAAAGACTCAAAACATGATTAACGAGGCAATGTGTGGATGATGGTGGGTAGTTGTCAGATTTATGACCATTTTGGTTAATTCCATCACTATTGCTTGAAAGTAGCCTTACTTAAGAGTTGTTGCTGATAACCCACTAGGGATGAGAACTTGTTTTGTTGGGATGTCAGGAGCAGTGTAAGGCATTTGTAAAAAATAGTTTATGATTTGGATCTTTTGTTTACATTTGTAAACAGACAGGAATTTGCCATTATGCAGATGAAGGCAGCTCACTCCCTAATGGATTACAGAACCTCACCCTATTTCAGTAGAAAATGTCTATTGGGAAAATTATTAGTTCAATTATGAAGATGCTGAGCTTTTGGTGTTTATGGAATCTTCAATAAGAAATAGCTACTTAGCACTTTGATATGTAGAACAAGAGTTTCAGGGGGGATTGGGAGTTTCGGCGGGGGAATCTTGGTTGGAGAAATAATATTTGGTATTGTCTTACCCAATGGGACTGAATGAGATTGCTCAAAAAGGTGTACTGCATTTTACAATGTTTAGAGTAGATTCCAGGTAGGGAAAGAAGTGACAGTAGAAAGGGGCTAACTGAAAGTTCAGAGGGTCATTGGATGACAGATCTGGTTAAGATGAAGAGTTGGCATAAGGAGAGTAACTGAGTGAGAGAAATTGAAGAGTGAAAAGTAAAAGTGTGTATTCAGAGAGTGGAGTGACTGAATTTAATCTTTTAAATCTGGAACTATTCTAGGTAAAACAGTTTTGGGCATGTCTGGGGGTGATTGAAAGTGAAGAAATGTCCTGTGGAAAGGACTGTTAGGGAGGGCACAAGACTGGAATTACAGAGCAGTGATCATGATGAAGGTACAAAAAAGATTAAGACAGGGAGGGGCTTAGGTGTCAGAAGACAAGTAAAGATACCAGAATGTGAGGCATGGTGAGCTATGGAATTGAGAAGACAATTGGCCCCAGCTTTCACCTGGAGAGATGACTGTGGTGAGAGGCACTTAGGTTCATCTAGAGCCAGTCATCGCCTGGACAGAATATTGGTTGTTGAGGGTGTGGCAATGCAGATCTCTGTGGGTCTTCATTGCATTGGTTCTGGGGTCAAAGTTGCTGGTGTTAGACTTTGTACTAGGACTGCTGCATGGACTCCAGGAGTTGTACACAGTACAATTTAATTGAATCCATATTAGCTGTTACCCTTGAGGCCCTTCAAGTGTGTCATCCCGTGGGGTTTTTTATAAGCTCAGACTGGGGTTGAGGAGCAGAGCTATATCAGTTTCTGGATGCCCTATGGAGTGGATGGAGATAAGGAGCTGAAAATGGAGAATGAGAACTATTTGCATCATGGGTTGAGTTGGAGGATTGAGCAGAGAGGGAATCAATACCAGGGATGAAGTCAGAGCCAGGTGAGGGATCAGAAGTCACTTCTAAAATTACTAAAACAAGGAGATAAAATTAGAGGGTTAGAATATCACATGTATCTCAGATATAAGATAGAATGGCTAGATATGGAGTGGGTAAAAACAAGGTATAGTTATTAGGGTGAAAGTAAAGAGGGGGTCTGGTTATATGGTATATAGTATATAGTTGGTTTGGTGTTAACAGTATGTCTTCTTTTTTTGCAGAAAGCATACAATTAAAAAGCAAAACAAAACATGGCTACATTGGACAATTAACTCTTGGCAGCTTGTAACCAGTAAGATGATCTTGAACAGTCTCTTTTGTCTACGGCACTCTGTTTTCTCATCTGTAAAAATTAAACTATTGGCTCAGGTCATCTCTGAAGTTTTCAGTAGCTCTGTGATTCGATATCATTTATTTTGTCTTATTCAGGTCCCAACTATCCTCCAGCAACCCCTAGGATTCCCTCTAGGGCCCCAAATTATACTGAAGAGGTCCACTGCTCTCAGGCAAGGCCAGCTCCATTTTCTTCCTCACATTTTGGGTTGAAGTAACTGCAGAGATTTGGGGAGAAATAATACATATCCTTCTGAAAAGTGAATGACCTAATCTTTCTTGAACAGAATGTGACTGTGTTGTTTATGGTTTGTTTTATTTTTGTTACCAGGCAATCAAGATGGAGCCTATTGGAATGATATGTGCCAGCTGGGATTTGTGCCTCCTTACACTGGCAGAGAGAAGAGTGTGAAGCCTGCTTGGAGAAGTGGAGGAGGCTGAAAAGAAGGCAAAGAGTGAAAACAGTGAAAGGAGGTGGAAGAGGGGATAAAAACACGGATAAGAGAATGCCATGGTGGTGCTGAGAAGGAAACAAGAGACTTTTTTGCTTGTAAAGGGCAGAAGATGGCAGAATCCAGCGACGCAGGGGCATCTGGCTCTAGAAATAATAGGTCACTTGGCACCCACTCCTTCAAAACGGTGAGCTTCATGAACATTCTTATTTATTTTATGTGAATATTGCATGTCCAGCGATGTGTTCCATCACAAATTCTTGGTGGGAGTCAACCTAATCAAAGTGAAGGAATAGTCTTTGAGAGAAGGGCATTACTTATGTGACAGCTATCTGCTTTTATTTGAGAAGTAAGGTGGGAGGATTTGGATTACATATGGCCAGTTGTATTCTTTGTTTCTCTTTTGAAATATGAGCGTTGACTCGGACTGTGCAAACTATTTTCTTCTCATTTCTTTATTACCACATATTTAACGTGCGTCAACAAGCTGACTCTTAATTGGCTGGCTCAAGTACAGAGACAGGATCCTATAGGAAGGGGGAGCAAAGCCATAAGCAAACTTAAACATTTCTTGATACCATTATGGCTCTCAATGGCCATCTTATATTAATGGCTATTTCTCTACATCACACACACACACACACCTTGCATTCAGCACTTTATATTATGAAGTGGCAAAAACCACAATTACTTTTGCACCAACCTACTAGTAACTCACTACATGTAAGAAGATTGTGGAGATGCAAACTTCTCTTCCCTTTGCCTTACTGACTTCTTTCTAATAAGCTGAATTTGGGTGTGAGGGTAGTCAGAGTGAGGCAAGGTTACTCTAATTTTCCATTTGAAGGATATCTCTATTTGAAGAAGACAATTCAAATGCTGTCTTTACCCATGTAGCAGCAAATAATTTTTACTGTTACTTTTATGGACTTCAGAGGGGCTACACAATCTCTCACAAGTCCTTGCTGACTGTGATTTTTAAAGGAATGTTATTTTGTAAGTGAAGCAACTGTGATTTTTAAAGGAATGTTATTTTGGAAGTGAAGCAACTGAGAAGTGACTATAATCTTCAGGAGTAGAGGATCAGAAAAGATGTGAGGTTGGCATAATAGCCTTGGGAAGATAAAATAAGCCAATGAAGAGCTTATAGTTTTAGAGCTGAACTCAAGTTGGATCTTTTATCTGATAACATTTTAAATATTCAGTGTTATTCTCTATCATTTCAAATAGCCAGAAGATAATTTTGTTTTCATAAGGAAGTGATTTAAAAAGGAAGAATTTAGGGAAAAATTTACAAGACATGATTCTTAGTGAGGGTTGGCTACTTGACAGTTATCAAAGTAGGCTTCAGAAAGCTTCACTGTCATGTATCCATCAAAGAGTGAGAGGAGTTAATGAATTCTACATGAATTCAGTATGTTCTACAAACATAGGAAGATCTAAATTTCATGTTATACGAATATTTTTTCATTTAAGAATTGTTACCAGTTACTTCATGATTGGTCCACTGGGTTAAGAATTAAAGGATCTGAAATTGGGAGGAAGAAAGGAGAGTGATGTATCTGGAACCATGACAAAGAAAGTTTTTAAACAATTGCTTATTTATCCTTAATTCGCCATAATAACCATTACTGTTCTCAAATCTAAAAAAAAAAAAAAATCACTTCTGCCATTTTGCTTCCTCTTCTACCTTGTTTCTTCCTTTTCTTGTACTCATATGTAAAATATTTCTGTGACAATTTGAGTAGTAATCTGCTTATGCCATTCTGGACAGACACAAAGAGATGGTGTCCCCATGTGTGGGAATTAGTCCCAGTGCAGCGGGAATGAAATTAAACTACAATCTCAAGTCCTCAGAAGAAATCCCTGAAGAGTTCAGCACCTGGTTAAAATCCATGTGTGCATATTCAGGCCTGACCATAGGCAATTACAATGGCTTTACCTGGCAGGCCTTGTGGGGAAAGCTGCCTTCCCCACACTAGACTTTACAGCCAATGCACTGCAGCCTCAGGAGAGAGTGGCAGTCAAGGACTCAGGTCCTCCAGCCAATCATGCTCTTTCACGTATTTACCTTCCTAACCCAGGAACCTTCATTCCAAGGTCTCTGACACCCCTGACAGAGGCGTTCTTCAGGTTCCTCTGCTGAAAGCTTCTTATGCAGGAGGAGGGAAAAACCTTGAAGACACTTTTCCACATTCTGACTCAATACTCAGGATTCTTCCCGCTGCTAGCCCTTCTCCTCTTCCCTCCCTAGCACTCCTCTTCTCATGTCTATGATGATCCATCTGACTCTTAATTGGTGTGCCTTTCTGTTGGGAAAAATTGAACGTGGGAGTCAGTGCCTCCAACAGTTTTAGCCTCTTCTTTATGCCATTGCAGCGTGTGATGAAAAGCTGAATCCTGTCATTTTTGACTGGTTGTTTTAATAGGCTGCTCTGATACTTGGCCACTCAGCTTTCTGTCTCTGTCTCTCTCTCTCTCTCTCTCTCTCTCAGCTGAGTTTCTGACAGTCCCAGCTTTGGCTCTTTCTGGTTGTGTGACCTTAGCTGAATCATTTAATGTTTCTGCGCTTCATTTTATCATATGTAAATTTAGTACAATAATACTCGATTAATTTCTCATGAAGATTATATGAGGTGCTTGTGAAAAATACCTTACCTGGTACATTGCGACTCAGTTCTTAAACAGAAACAGAAACAGAAACAGAAACAGAAACAGAAACAAACAGTGGGTCACTAACCTAGGGTCCTCTAGGGAGAACTTGCACTTACGTATTTTCCTGCAATGCCTTGGATTACATCATATGGCAAAGCCCTTTTATGTGTAAATGTTAACGTCTGTTTACTTTCTTTGTTACCATTTTCTGGTTAATTCTGGAAGGAAAATTTTTTTGTCTTCTTGTCAGTATTTTTCTCTTATTTTGATCCTTTTTGTCAGATATGTTTTCCCCTAAGAGCTGACATTTATGTTGTACGGTGCATATGTTAACGTGGCAATGAGATATTGCAGTAAGATTATAGCTCCACAAGGGGGTACATAAATGACAGTCTCCAAACAGAAACCAGCGTAGCTGCCAAAAAGGAAAGCTTCAAGATTCTCAGCTTCATTTTCAGTTATGTCATTAGAATAAATACGTTTTCTAATGGCAGAAGGAACTTCAGATAAGGATCTACAGGTGATATAGGATATCACTCAGCTACTCATAGACCTAAACAAGGCAACGTTTCCCAAGATGATAATTTTTCTGTGAAAGGTACTAGAAATGACTAAATTTATTGCCCCACATCATCCTTTATGATCTCATATGTCAGGGAAAAGCCCAATGTCAGAAACCCAGATTGTGCTCATGTCGTCAGGCAGAAGCTCGAGCATGAGCTCACGGGTATCTGGAAAACTTCGCCCAAACTGGGACAGAGCAGGCCACTTTCCTTTAAGCCAAACTTTATAAAGAGGCTTTTTGCTAAGTTTATTGTTAGATTTACTCCATTTTGAGTTTATTCTCAAGTGGTATTGCACTTGAGGTTGGCGCTAAGTTGCCCTTAATAATTCTCTGATCTTGATGTTGGCTTGCCTCACCATATGAAGACTGAGTCTAAGAAGAGGGAGATCTCAGTTCATGGGCCAGAAAATTGACTATTTTCATCACATGTGAGACATTTAGGTTCTGAGGGAAGAAGTGAACTTTTTCCAGTTCTGGCAAAGTCTTGTTTAGACCAATGAGCTCATGCTAGCGAGTCTTTCGTGACAAATATGAGCACCATCTGGATTCCTGACATTAGCCTTGTTCCTCATCTCTGAGATCAACCATCAAAACAAGCAAGTGCTATCCAGAAGTGTTTGTGTGTGTTGGGGAAGGGGGAGTAGGATTCCTGACACACGTTACATATGGTTTCTCATAAGGTGCCCGGGAGAGCTCAGCCCCAGTTGCCCACACTGATAACCCACTTGTTAATATATTCCTTATCGGCTTTTCTCTTTTCCTTGTTTCGTTTTTCCCACTTTCTCACTTGTGTTTCTTAGATCACCTCTCAAAATAAACTACTTGTACCCAACTGCTTGTTTCGGTGTCTGCTTTTGGGTAACTCTAATACAGAACCATTTTTAAAAAATCCTTGAAGCATGAAAATCTAACACAGAAATGTGTTGATACTACATGTACAATCCAGATTTTGGTAAGATGAAAATAATAAATAAGCCAAAAACCAAATAAACAGATGCTACATGGTTGTCAAAACAGATGTACACATGTACACACACATGCACACACACGCACACACACACATTCCCCACTCAGATTAGTCTAAACAAGTGGAAGATAACTTGAGTAAAAGCAAATAACTTGATGAGACACAAAGTCAGAAAATAGAAAATTTTCTTCATATTATAAACAAACTGAAGATGACAAATTAGAAGTTGTGGACTACAGTCAAGAATGACCACAGTCAAAAAAGAAATAAAACGCACTGGAGTCTGGGGGGATTTACTACAACCAGGATTTAATGTGACCGGAATGAGCTAACACAACTAGAGTTGTATAGTGACATACCATGTACAATGGTATGTATAATGACATAATGTATGTGCTTTGTAAACTGTAAGCTGAAATTCATACTCAAGGTATTATTTTCAATAGATTGCCTAAAGGAATGTCTGCAAATGAAGTGGATGGCTGTGAAGGAAAAATACTGCATTAAGATTTTTATCTTAGTTTTTCTGAACTTTTTGACATTTGAGAAATCAATTTCTCTCTGTGTGTGTTTCCCTGCCCTAACCCATAAAATCAATATGAACTCAAATTTGAAAATGGATATGAAAAGACTGAAAAATATAAAATTATGTGCAAATGTTAGAGTTTTTTATTTAAAAAGACGTGGGATATGATAGTTGGTGTTTACTACTCTCAACTTCTTTTGGGCCTTAAGGATGTGGTGTATACCTCAAGCATTACCAAACCCAGAATTCTCTGAGAGACAAAGGGTACACATACCTCAGTTTATTCATTCACTTATAATTCTTGTACAATTAAATGTCTTTTTTGAAGAGGCTGATGTCAGATTCCCTTTTCTTACAGTAAGCCCCAAACACAAGCATTTTTTCATCTCAGGATAGCTTAACAAACCAATAGCTTGTACCCTGAAAATCTGACAAGGTTCTGAGTTAGCCCAAGTACTCTGAGGAAGGTGTACT